TACTCTATCCTGCTGTCCACTTTACCTGTATGAGGTTTATGTAACTGATTTTATCTTCTGCAAAGCTAAGGGATGGTAAAAACTCAAGTAAACTAACTGAAAGAAGTTATAAAGAAAATTTACTTTTGCTTGTATTTGACTGCACACGTTTTTTGCTTGCACTTTTATTCTGTTGAAAACATAGCCAGCTTTACTTGGACTGAATACAAACACACTGTACATCATGTCCTATACAGAGTGTGATCTCATAAAGCCTCCTCCACATTGGCCCTGAACATGGAAACTCATGTTCTGTCGCACTAAGGTCAAGGTGTGCATGTCTTCTATTATCACTGTCCCCCGGCCCCTCACCTCTCTGCCCATTTGAATCGTCTGTGGAATAAGTGTTAGACCATACACAGGGAACAGCTTTGACCCATTGTCGCTATCACAATGTACAACAGAGGTATAAAGAAGTGTGGACTCGTGAGGTGCAGCAGCTCATGTTTGAACCAAGATATGAAGAAAACGGAGAATATTGAATCTGTAGGGATGTAACGATATCCAAATCTCACTAAATGATCACAATATGCACCATGCTCATGATACAATATTTATTGCAATGATTTGGAGAGACAAATAGAATTGTAGATAAGATACTTTATGCTTTTAAAATACCTTGAGAAGACTTGATACAATCATTACTGTCATAATCCTTAGAATTAAAGTAAAAAGAACATATTTCTTCCTGTTGTTTGCCCTGAAATGAATCGTGGTGTATGCAGTTCCCTATGTTTATTAGCTGTTGCAAAACAAAGCATTTAAGCAAAAGAACTTTTTCGATAAATTTTGTGACACTTGACGATATTATTGTGAGACCTTTGATGATACAATATCAAGTTTTTTTTTTTGGTTATTTTTACATCCCTACGAACCAGAATACTATAATTCATAAATTGTAAAACAGTTAATCCACAAAGCAATACTTCAGTCTAAACATTGAAGTAGGTGTACCTGATTTTAAAACCATAAAAGGAGGTGGAAGGCATTTAAATTGTCTCAGTTGTTCATTTGGCACATTGCTAGTGTTCAAATGCATTAATCTTTTGGGTGCGTGCTACTTCGGACTGCAAATCGGAGCTGGAGTGGACCACCACTGCTCAGTCAACATACTCTTTTGCCAAAATACATTTTAGTGACCTGTCAGGCTCTTTATTTAAGGTTTGGATGGTTTTATAATTCGATGCAGACGGCACACACAGAGTGGTCTGATTTGGTCACAAAGTGGTGTTTTTACAATAGAGGATCTATGGGATAATCTGGGTACCTAAGCTTTAATGTTAATTCTTGACTAAAAATATACCAAAATTGTTTGCCTGGGATCCAGAATATACACTTCTTCAGTGCTTTACGAACATGTGAGTCTGGTCACCAACAAATTCCTAGTTTCAAACGGGTGTGATTGACAGGTGGATTAGCCAATCAGGGACACACATGGTCAGTCTGTATTAGGAAAAAAATCAAAGGGAAAACATTTCAGGGGGCTGAAAAACATCTTAGATTTCTGTAGAAGCAATGAACGCAGCACTAAACTCTGTGCATCTGAGGTGAGATAAATTAGATTTTATTTTTAAATGATATGTGACCAATGAGCTTCTTTGTTTCACACGTTTGGCTGGAGGATGTGGTGATCAGACTGAAAAAGTACAGAGAGAGATTTCATTCTGGATTTGCCAGGTAACCAAAATTGCTGATTTTTTTACTATACAAAATACAAAAAAAAAAAAAAAAACAATATCTGTATCCAACTATATTTGATTAATCACATATCAATCAAATATTTCTGTTCTACACAGAAAATATTCATTGTTTTTATTTATTACATTCTATTTCTCACCAACACAATACAGCCCTCTCAGAAGAGTGGTTGAGATTATATTAACTTTATAGTGGCAGTCGCTTTCTGCAGTGTTGCCAGCAGGTCACCTCCCATACATTACTGATCAATAGGAGTAGTGTAGAGGGTAACGATTTCTGCATCCTCTCAACTTGGAGTACGCGTGTCTTTTTTTGGTCGTCTATACAAATCCATTCACCTTATCGACAGGCCCCATGTTGGTACTGTTTACACATCCCCAGTGGGCTGCTGTCTCTCAAGTGCTAATATGTGCCTCGAGTGGTCAATATTTCTCCAACAAACAACCAGGTTTTGAGGTGACTGAGCAGGAAGGAGGGATACAGGCAGGAAATAGAGTGAGATGGAGAGACAAGAGGACCAGACGAAAACTGAGAACAACATAGATAAAGTTTGAAATCAGATGCTCCTGCTATTGATGTGTGGGCTTTGTTTTTTAGTGACATACATTTACAGTATGTGCAATGCTACTCTGACATAGTCGAATGCTGTTGCTCTCTATAACTTCAACAAATGCATTTTTTTAGAAAGATTTTTTTATGTTTTACAGAACAATACAAATATCATATTATGATTATTCTATCACAGTATATTATTATACATACATTTTATTTTAAAAGAACAGAGATTGCCAAGACAAACCCAGGGCCAAACAAAGATTAAAGCTTCACTATGTCACTTCCTTGTTGGGGCCCTATGGAAATGTTATTGCTTTGCTTTACAATTTTCCACAGTGTGGCATTAAACGTTAGCCAGACTAGACGAATTGACTAACCAGACGGTTTGCAAGAGGAAGTTGTAGACTGCACTTACAACAGTAAACAAAGCGGTATGTAGATTCTGTGTTGGCAACGATTCCCATGATCGAGATTCTGAAACAAGGAGATGTTTGGTAAATATTATCAAGGGGAAAGATTATTGATGGGATTTCTTAAGTTAGTTAGTGGCGCAGTACATACGTCACAATAGCAGCGATTGGTTAAATAAAAAAGTAACCGCCTACCGTCATTAATGCTAAAATACTTTGAGTGCCTTGAAGGTGGAAAAGCACTACACAAAAATATGATCATTTACCACTGTACCATGTATTCAGATACAGCTCTTTTTCATGCAAGAATACATGGAAAAACATGCTTTCTTCATTGTTAATGTCAGTGGAGTCAACTCTCCACAGATCAGACCTGTAACTTGGTGGTACCACCTGCTTGTTTCCATGGAGATAAGCAGCAGAAGTGTAATGCCATACTGATGAATATTTCAGGAAAATAAAAAACAAGCAAGCAGGTGTTTAATCATTAAATTGAAATACAGGTACACTGAAACAGGACTTCAGATTAAACAAGGATTAAACTAAGACTGTATTATGCAAGCACTAAACTACAAACAAGAGCTAAAGCAGAACAATATTAGTTTAGACATTATACCTGAGTTTAATTTCAGTTGTACAGCTGTTTTATTTTGCATTTGAACCCTCAAACAGTTAATATTTAAAGATGTGAACAAAAACACCAATCACACAGAGATTGCCCTTTAAGAAATTACTGTAGAAATGAAAAATGCTAAAGCGGAAAAGGTTGTCCTTGGATGAGAGCATTACGTAAGAGGCTTTTCAATGGAGAAACAGCATAACAAATGAACAGAACCTTGTGGGTTGTTAAGTCAAAACTGTGAAATAACCAAGGTCTACACTGGACAATTGTTTATTTGTTGAGGTCACAGTTTGCATGGCCTTTTCCAATTCACACAGCTGCACACTCATCGAAGACATAATTCTTAACCCTGGGCTTGGCTGGAGGCAGAAGAAATTGTGAAAATTGTTCCTCTTTTTATTTCCATCTTTGTTTGTTGTTTAATGTATATTCCCTGTTTATTTGTATGCTTTAAAAACAATTCAAGATGTACTTACTTTCTACTTTTAATATGCTACCTTTCATAACATAAAGTGGAATTGCTTTTGTTACTGATCTTCTTTTCCTAATGGGTGTTAAGAGCATTGTGTAAAAAGAAAAACATCATAAAATGGTCTGTGTGCTTTTGATCTCATTGGTTGGCTCCTGATTACAGATAGTGCATTTGTGTAAAGTAATATGTGCTACCAGACCACATGGGAAAGAGCATGTTCTGTTTTCATGTGGGATTTATAGTAGCACATATGTGGAGGAGTTCAATATTTGGCAAGTACTGGCACAATAGTCCGTGATCTCAATCTGTTAAAGCAGGAGATATAAGACCGATGTATCGGTATTCATTTTAGCTTTACTCAAAAACCAGGAGGTGATCACACCACTGGTAAGATTCTCCTTTGCTTTCTACATTAAAATGTCCTAAATTATTTATATTTCACAAAGGAAAATTGGATCAAGGAAGTCATTTTAGGACTTCTGTAATGGTGGAATAAAGCTGCAAATTTTAGTAGTCAATGTTTTAGATTAGTCAGTTAGTCAAATGATTTACTGATGTGATTTAAGTACATTTTTAACCAAATAAAGGCTGAAATATAGTGACTCAAGCTGCAAATTTTAGTAGTCAACATTTTAGATTAGTCAGTTAGTCAAATGATTTACTGATGTGATTTAAGTACAATTTTAACCAAATAAAGGCTGAAATATAGTGACTCAAAGTTTCTAGTTAGAGAATATTTACAAGCAAAGACTGTTAAAAACAAATATTATAATGATTATTTCGTAGTCAACAATTATTTAGATTAATCGTTGCAGCATATTGTTGATTAATGTTTGAGACAAGCCCACAAAGTCCTTTAGGCCCTTGGGTTTAACCACAATTTAAAATCTGACAGAAAAGTTTGGACATCAGTGACACACAGTGACAATTGTGCCACTTCACTTGTCACATATTCAATTGCTTTTCTCCATGTTTAACCTTGACTCCATATTGTCTTTTGCAGCTCAGGTCGTCATAATCAATAACCAATTAACCATCTATTTTTTTCTGTTCCCATATCCAAATATATAATTCAGTATTTATGAATTAATATGCAGTCATTTTCATCTAACCTGCTGTACTGTGGTTAACACTGTGCTCTGTGTTTTGTGTTGTGCTTGTGCTTGGTGTGGTCATGTGACTTCATGCGTGCGTGTGTGTCCAGAGAGGGGAAGATGGTTGTCCTGTCTCTAGCAATCGGTCTGGCTGAGCAGGACGACTTTGCCAACCTCCCAGATCTACAAGAAGCACCAGCCAACAAAGAAAATGAAACCACGCCAGAAAAGAGGTAGAAAATAACATAAAAAATTTCGCAAAAACAACAATGTTCTTTTAATGTAAATTAGAATTTCTTTTCTGCATCGTTTTAAGTTTGTCCATTATCTCTACTGAGGGCCTTTAGAGCCTTTACATGTTGGCGTTGTTGACACTTTGTTGGTGCATGCTGTTTTCTCTTCTTTGTTTTCATTGGTTGTGTATTGATCTCATTGACATGCACACAACCTGCTGCTTTTGAATTGGAGTCTCAGTATTTATTGTCAAACATTCTGTGTCTGTAACATTGCTACACAATTACCTACTGGCATTGTAGCTGTTGCACTGTTGCACAAGTTTTTTGAACCATTTCATGTTTTTCAATATAAAACTTTATTAAAACAACCCTGCTGAAATACAAATGTACAATCATAACTACAAGAACGTATGTTTGGAAATTATCTTAAAACAAAGCCAATATTTTATACTTACAGATACAACACATTACATTTTATTTATGGCATTCTTGTACTATGAAGCTACTCTGGTTGAGGGTCCATCACCTGCTTTCTTTTCCTGGAATGTTTCACTGTATGGAATTAAAGTTATCTATCTCCATGGAGACAAGCCAATCTTACCACAAAATAAAGTTACAGGTCATACTGTGGAACATTTCTAGGAAATCATGCATACATCAACATTTGTCAAGCAGCTGCAAGACCAACCAGACGTTCCTGTATACACTTTTAAATAAGTCTGTGAATTTTTCGTTGCATCACTATGGCATTCAGGTTCTTGCTCTCAGAAAATATGTATCTAAATGTAGGATTTTCATTCATATCAGATATCTCCCACTGTGTTTTTAAGAGTCAGACATTCTTGGAGTTGTCTTGATAAAATAGTCCAACCTTCCAAACCAAAGCTATACTTACACTATTTCCACTTTTGTCAGAGAAGAAGAAGGCACAATTGCTGCTGCTCAGACATGCTTGGACACAGCACAGATTGCCTTCAGAGTGAGAGCCTCTCAGTTCAATGGAACATCTCCAGGCTCCAGTGTTTTCATAAATCTCAAAGTGATGAAGGCTTAACCCACTGTCTCAACACGAAAAGACCGAGCATAAACCTGGCGCTGTCATCCGTAACCCCACTAAGATATTTGGTACAAGAATGTCTGATTTAAGTTTTCAAAGCCTCTTTGCTGTGTGTTGTTCAAACTGGGTCATACTGTATATCTGGATCTTTGGCTGATGAAAAGGAGCAGAATATTGAAAAAACGCTATCATTTTTGTGGTACAAATGTGATATTAGAAAGACGTGTAGCTATGTAACTATACAATTTCAAATGTGTTTTGGCATTTTTCTGGTCAAAAACATCAATATTTATGGTGGTTAACAATGCACTGTGTAACTTTTAAGGGCTACGTCTCCATGGAGATGTTAGTTCTTTGCCTGAAATGCTCCACAGTAGGGCATTAAGCATATCCCCCTGCATTTTTTCAATTACAAGTGTTTTAGAGCTCAAAAAATACATTAAAAACACAAATTCTTACCATGTGTAGGCGTATTTGTCCATAGATATGACTATCAGCCTATCTCCATTGTGATTACCAAGTTTACTGTGTAATAATCAAGATGAACAGTAATATTTCGATAGAGACATGCAGGTGGCGGACCCTTCACTAGAAAAGTTACACAGTACACCTTTACATTTGACTAATGTTTTTAATTATTAAAATTTTTAGTAAGAATATTTAATATAATCTTCAAAATGATACGGGTGAACAAAATTAATCTTCTCACGCTTCTCTCTTTTAGTTCAATAGCAATTTTATAGCAGACCTATTATGCAAAATTGACTTTTTAGAGCTTTTAATCATGCTATAATAGTTTCCCTTCTCATACACCCACGTGAAGTTGTATTTGGAGTGGCTCATGGATGTTTGAGTATGTATTCAAGACGTCATTGTTCCTTTCATCCCCCATTTTCACCGTCACCAGTATACGCCCACTGCTCTGTGCTAACTTATATATTCACTGAAAGGGTACATAACCCAGCACTTTTATGTACTGATACTTTGCAGTGGCATCACGCTGAGGGTGTTCTACATGTAGTTACTTTGGTGACACAAGGCACATATCAGCAAATATTGACAAAAAAGTTTTTAAATTGTCTGATCGTATTGTCTGCAATCAATATAAGTGTCCATGGTTCTGTTTAGGCGTTTGAACAAAAAGGAAAAAGTGCCTAACTGAAAAACTGTTTGCTAATGCTATCTAGTTTGTGACTGTTTAACAGCAAAAATAAAATAAAGCTCAGATTAAAGTCTAATTTGAGTAATTCCTACAGTTAGCACCACACTGACAGGGAATGTCAGACGCAAAGTTATTAATAAGCTCTTTTATGCCTCTCCAATGACATAAATAAGTCTACTGGATTTATTTATATTGTGCTGGGGGTCTTTCGGGGTCAGTAGTACCAGCCTTCACCTCACGTTCCCCCACATCATGCTTTTCGCCATCACTGTCTGGAGCTGTGTCGAGCACCTATAACTCTAATCAAAGGGAGGTGGCATCTATCCTGTGCCCATCCGGAGGGGCAGACCGGGCCAAGTCGTCTAGTGTCCTTCCACAGCTAATAACAACCCTCTGTCATCATCTCTGTTGCTCTCATCGCTGTAGTTACGCCTGTAGAGCGCTCTGCCTGGCCCCCGCGTGCTGCCGGCTGTTTTCTCACAGTCCAGTCAACTGCAAAGTATGGGACCGCATCATGCTGCTAGGAATATATGTGACAAGACAAGACGCTGTCACACACTGGAATAACAGAGACGGGCAGAGTGGCGGAGAAAAACCTTTGACTCTGCTTTCTAGAGAAATATGGGGGAGGATAGAAACAGAAACTGACATTTATGCAGATTTGTTATGGAAAATGTTCAAGTTGTGGTGGTAAAAATGGTGTTAGTAGTAGTAGTAATGGGTGTTTAGTAATATGTCCCAGTAATGTTTTTTGTCATTTGTATTTCCCCAGTCTTTTGCTATGGCCCCTGTGATGGCCGTTCTTCAGATCATGACCCAAGTACTAAGCTGAATCAGCAGCCGAACAAATGTGGCAGCCATCCAGAAAGAAACCTTAGCAAAAACTTTATAAAAAGCAAACAAAACTGATCAAATGTTGTGTAATTATTAATTAATTTATGAGTCAAAATTCTTCTAAATGTACTCTAACTTTAGAGTTTAAAGTATTTAAACACAATCCCAATCTCTAGAATATTATTTATAGTATCTGTATATATAGTTTTATTTTGTATAGTAGATGTCCCATGCAGTAGTGTTTGCAGTAGGTCATGTTTTGAGTAGTTGTAGTTGTAACTGTTGTAGTTGTAGTGTTTGTAGTTGTTGTAGTTATAGTAGTAGTAGTAGTAGTAGTAGTAGTAGTAGAAGTAGTAGTAGTAGTAGAAGTAGTAGCAGCAGTAGCAGTAGTAGCAGCAGTAGTAGTAGAAAAAGCCGGGAGGTCCATCAAATTGGAGAACAATGGGTGAAGCTAAAAATAGCACATTGCTTTTGGGAGTTTTATAATGAAATCAACAGCATGTATTCAAAACATTTCCTCCGATAGTGAAAGAAAAACAGGATTAAATCAAAACCTTTGTGCATTGTGCACATGGTGAGATCCATAATTTAATATGGGTTTCATGACTGTGTATGTAGTGTTTTGATCATTTGTCAAGATCAGTTTTAAGTCAAGGGAAATAGAAAATGGTATTGCAAAAACACGCTCAGGGCATTTTGTCCCAAAGCCGATGCATTATTGTGCACATATTTGTTGAAGAAAAACTTGTTTCTAAAACAATATAAGAAACTCAAGTTGTCCATTGTAAGAATGTGTACTTAAAGAAATAAATATCCAAGATGCTGTTATATTATTATTGTAGTATTTCATTTTGTGTATCCTCCAAGCTTATTCTCCTTGGCATCAGGTAGAGATAGCATCTGATGTAGAAATTAAGTCAAACTATATTTAAAGGTCGACTCAGTGGACTTCAGTGGATTTCAATTTCAAAATAAAACACATTAAAATTATAATACTTTGCAAATATAAAAGTAAAGGAACAATACCTATTTATTATAGACTTTTATTTAGTGCCAAGGAGGGGCTTCTTTTAGAGCAGTTATCCTGACAGTATTTAAAGGTCCTATATTACACAAAATAGACTCTTGTGAGCATTCAGCCATGTTATAATGCTGTTACCTCATCGTGTTTTGTGTCATTCACACATGTTTGAGTGATCCTGGTTAATTAGATTGTCTACATCTCCAAAGCTCAAAGTGCTCTTTTCCACTGTGTGATGTCAGGCAGCGGTAGTTTTCAAGTTAACAGCTCCTTTTACCTATTCTTCAGTAGAGATTGGAAATTCCAGGGACATTATCAAAATGATTCTACTGAAGGTATATGGAGTTTAAAAACACAGTGGAGCACTTCCCAAGTGAGTATCCATGTATGTTTGTGATGAGGAAACACCATTATAACAGAGATGAGAAAATAGCATCATATGGGCCCTTTAAATCACTGACCATCATATGATTTGTTGTGGTGACTCTAAAGGGAAAGGGTCAAAATGAAAAGCCTTATAAGCTCAACAATTTGTATGTATTTTATGTATAATTGATGTTGCATAAGATAACTTTGATTCATACAGTGTATTGAAGGTTGAGAACAGACTGTGATGGTGATCTACTTTACATCTGTCAATCACTTTAGTGTTGTAGCTGGAGGCCTAGTTCATATGCTGACAGCAGTAATCACATCTGCAGATAGTCAACACTACAGTACGCCCCGTCAGTGTAAACAGATCATTATCACCAGCGCTTTTGGTTGCCTCTATGTTTAATGTAATCTGTGAATAGGGCATACAACTGGAGTGCTTGTCTGGTAAAGCTGTCTTGTGTCAACATATTGCTTTCAACAACAATATATTATTATTACAGCTAATTACAGCAGACAAGCATCGCATCATAGCTGAAAATTGTTACTTT